TCCTCTTGACTCAGGAGGAAGGGGGTCAGCAAATACAATGCAAGAATCCTGTAAACCCTTAAGGATTGCCTAAGTGCCTCAGGGTGAATTCCAGCTTGAATGGGGCCTCCCCCACATCCTGAAATAGCATTCAGTTTATGAAAAATATTTAGTATTGGCTTCCCATAGATCCTGTTGCAAATGAGGTCACATACACAGGTATAAGGTTGGAACAGTGATCTTTTCTTTTATTGTGGTTGTTAGGTGCTGTCAAGTCAAGTCATAGTGACGCACTGGACAACTAATCTGAACGTGGTGTCACAATCTCTGACACACCCAAGCCCGTTGCCATAGTGACCGTGTCAACTCAACTGGTTGAAGGTCTTTCTTTCATAGTTCCAAACACAATGTCCTCTCTAAGGAACAGCTTCTCTTAACATATCTTTGAGGGGGCTACAGTTAAAACCCTAACAGCCTATTTTTTTCTCTGTGGTTTTCATCCCTCAAAACCCCATTGTTGTTGTTGTTGATTGCCTTCCAATCAAGTACACTCATAGCGACCCTACAAACAAAAGGCCTAAAGCCCCTCTATAACTACTGACATTTATCAAAGTTCACAGAGTTTCCAGAGGCATGTTGTTTAGGAAGTGGGTGCCACTACTGCTTCCAAACCTGTCATAGTACATTACTGGTTTTATGTGCCATTGAGTCACCTGCAGTGTATAGTGACCCTATGTACAGCAGTTCTGATCCCTTCTCTGTCCTGAGCCAGTCTCACTAATTCTGACACACCAACCCCCATCTCCCCAGTCACTGTATCAATCCATCTCATCCAGGGTCTCCCTCCCCTGCGCTGTCTGTCCACCCTTCCGAGCATGATGTCCTTCTCCAAGGACCGATCCCTCCTGGCCACGTGCCCCAAACCCCATAACCTAATGATTATTATGATAAAAAATATTATAGATGGGAAGTGAAGGAAATGGGAAAGATCCAGTGAAAAACAATGTATTTGAACTTTGTAAAGACACCAGTATAAAATTTAAAAAGCAACCAAAAAAAAGTTAAATGAAATAAATTTTAGATATAAAACCAAACCAAAACAAAAACAACAAATCATAGACATTCTGATAGAGGGGCATCCTAAAATATCCCCAAACCACTACTTCTCTAAAGGGCTGGAGTCATCGAAGGTCCAAGCATGGTTAATATCATTAATGTCACTGAGTTGTATATAGAATAAATACTGATTGAAGAACATCATCAATGTCACTGACAGTTGTCATTGTGGTTAGATGCCATTACATTGGCTCCAACATATAGTGATAGATACTGTTCTACGTACCTTAGAACAAAGCCTTACCTGACCTTGTGTCAGCTTCCCATCATTTCTGGGCCACTGTGTCAATTCATTTGAGTAAAAGTGTTCCTTCTTCTTGATCACCCTCTATCTTACAAAGCATGCCTGATGCACTTCTCCAGGGCCTGTACCTTTTTGAAAATGCGTGCAAAATTTCTTCCATTTGCAGATGTTGTTGTTGTTACGTGCCGTCGAGTCGCGTCATAGCGACCCTGTGTAAAACAGCCCTACACCCTGCTCTATCCTATGCCAATCTCACTGCCTCTGACACTCCCATCCCAATTACCCCAGTCATTAAATCAGTTCACCTCATAGAGGGTCTTCCCCTCCTGCGCTGTCCCTCCACCCTCCCAAGCATGATGTCCCTCTCCAAGGACCGGTCCCTCCTTACAACATGTCCAAAGTATGTCAGACGAAGCCCCAGAATCCTTGCCTCCAAGGAGCAGCCGCCTGGTTTAACCCTCTCCAAGATGAATCTGTTTGTTTGCAGTTACTTTATGTAAATTGTGTCTCAGTGAAAAAAGTTAACTTAAAATGAGAAATGTATTGTTATATATAGTTAAATCACAAAAAGAAAAGAAATAAGGAGGATTCACAAAGCTCCTTAAAGACCATTTGAGAAATTATCACAATCAAAAGGAGTCTGGAGAGTATAGAGTTGTTGGAAGCTCTGTGGCCATTGCCTTCAAATTACAGCCAAGTCATAGCTCACCTTCCAGCGGGTTCTCAGAGGCCGTAAATCGCATGGGAGTAACCTGTGATGTATAGTGTCCCCTCTGTGGACCATAAAGGCTTCATTTATATTATCCCACCCAGTCACTTGGTAGGAGGTATAAGGTCTATGGCTAGAAAAACCACAGTAAGTAAATCGCTGCTCTCATCTTATTTCTTATGTTTTGCTTTCCATCAGAATAATAGAGCACAGAGGTGACGGAAATCATGACAATATCCAGCCCCTAGTGTCTTCTTATTAAGTAAATCACCTCCCCACACCTGAACAAATAAGGTGAGAATCCAGCTCTGTCTTTGTCCCCAGAAGGACAGCTACCAGAGAACAGAGGTTATTGAAGTTGTTCAATAGAACACACTACTCCTGAAGGTCCCCTTTCCAATTCCAGGCAGCTCACTGTAAATTTAACAGACAGCATAACTGACTGATCTCCATGTCAAGGTTCCAGGCACCTGATTTTCCTGATGTGACAGCAGAGTGTGCCATATACCTCATTTGCATTTTTCACAAACTTTCCAATCCCCTTGGTGGGCCACAAGCACCTCATTTGCATGGTCTCATCCAGTCACTTGGTGGGAGATACAAAGGCTAAATTAAATAATCCACAGCATCACAACTGTGCTCTCATCTTATTTATTATTTTGGGCTCTCCATCTCAGTTCTTCTCTCTAGAATAACAACTACGAGAAGACAGAATTGTGGTGGTGGTGGTGGTGGTGGTGGTGGTGTGTACCGTTGAATCAGATCTGACTGGCACAGGAGGAGATTGCCCCTCCTTCTCCAGCGAAGCATCTGGTGGATTTGAACCATGTGGCTTTGGTATTGCAGCACAGTTTCTTGCCACTAGGCCACTATAGCTCCCTGAGAGGATGGAACTTTTTGAAGTTGTATCCTCTAATGCAATCTTGGAATCTATGACAGTATCCAAGCACATAGTTGGTGCTCTATAGTACACTGTGAAGATGTTTCTGAATTAATGATATCACTTCTTTGATCAACAGAATCCTTGGAATGTTATATATACACACCCACAAAACCCCCCATGATGGAGAACACTGGGGAGGAAGGGAGGGCCTCTGGCTAGGACAGATCACCTAAGCTCCAGATACGTTCAAGCCTCCCAATGGTCTTTAATACAAGGTAGAGAAAGCTCCCCTGTGCTTGGCCATACCGGCTTGAGAAAGCTCGCCACCTGGGAAGTTGGCTGCTGCATCTGTTGAGCTGGGAGTGGTTCGCACGAGGCTGAGGTTCTCCTAACCAATCCGCATGTCCCACGTTTGTAAGTCCACCCTATCCTGTCTTCCTGTTTACATACTTGTATACAATTGTACTGCAGTCCCAAAAAAATTGAGCTGGAGTGACTCTCTGATCCTCTCCCGGAGCGGTGTGTCTCCATCATGCTTACCCCCATCATGGTGTCGCTGCTAAGTTGCCGGCAAACAGACAGCAACACCCCCATGCATATGAACACTTATATATGCATTCATGAATATACACATATTCATATACACTCACATACAGATGTATGCATCATACATCTGAATAAATGTATATTTAAATATATAAACGTATATATATATACACACATACACACTTGTAAATGCATGTAAACAGAATAATTCATGAATACACATGCACAAATATATGTGTACACTGATACATAAATACACTTATGTATATACAAATATATTCATGCATACCCATGTACATAATCATATACATGTGCATTTATATGCACTATTGACATACATATGCATGTACACACCTAGCTCCCTTTGCACACATTTCTCCCTTGCACACATGCCCACATGCAAGCACACATATGCATTACTGAACCACAGGACTGAGTGCAGGGACAGACAAAGCTTGCAGAAGCAGAACTGAAGAAGGAAGGGCGTTCTGGAGAAGGAGCTACACACGCAAAGCCAGAGAGACACACACCCAGAGGGTGAGGTGAGGTGAGGCCCTGGGCCGGGTGGGGGGAGGTGGAGATCTGGCTGGGGGTTGGGCAGCAGGGCGGGTCCCGGAGGTCTGGAGATGCAAGGTGTTTACACCTCATTTTCTAGCTTAGAAGAGGAAACAGCAGCGTCCACCCTGAGGAAGAAGGGACCATATATGACCTGGAAGCCCAGAGTGTACTCCTGTATGAGGAGAAATGGGAGGGAGGGAGGGAGGGAGGGAAGAAGGGAGGTGAAGATGTCAGGGAATGAGGAAGAGCTGAGGCTGCAGGAGGGGCCAGGGTCAGCAGGGCAGGGACAAGGGTGTCCCTGTGAAGGGGAAGGATGGGCCAGGTCAGTGATCAAGGACCTAGGAGAAGGAAGAGGGAACAGAATGGAGAATGGCCCCCTGGTTTCTGTCCTGAGAGAGTAGAATCGGCTGAGCCATTAGGGAGATGGGACACAGCAGGAGCAGAGGCTGGGGAAGAGAATGGACGGCAGCTCAGTGCTGGCCATATTAAGTGGAGCAATCATGGGGGCCTTCCTGAGGAAGGTGTCAAATGGGGCATGGGAAAAGGAAACAGCCACCTTACTCACCTGAGGTCCTAACCCATGACTATGCCTGTGTCTCCCCAGCACTTGTCCTCCACGCCCAGAGTCGCTCCTACTGCTCTCTGCCTGCAGGCCCTCACCCTGAGAAACACAGAGCCTCTCAGTCCAGCCAGAACAGGACTGTGGGGGACGGAGCCTCTGTCCCCTCTCAGGCTGGATGAGGGGGCTTGCCTGGGGCAGGATGGGAACTCCAGAAAATCTGATGAGAGCAGGGACTGTCCATCCCAGACACTCGGGCCATGGGGTTATTGCAGGAGAATTCCCACCCCAAGCATCCCCATCTGTCCACAAGCCCCTGATCCCTGGGTCCCTCCAGGACTGAGGTTCTGGGGTCCAGCTCCCTGGCCCTGCCCTTCCACATCTCCCCATCCTCCCAGGGCTGTGCTCACATGGAGAAAGTGAGGCAGAGACTGAGAAGCAGGGTCTTGACTGCAGCCGCCGTGACGGCCACCAGAACCACGTCCGCCATGGGTCCTGGTGTCGCTGTGGGGAGGCGGGGAACACAGTGACCCCCTCCACGCTCCTGTGTGTCCTCTGCTCCCACTCGGATGAGACGCTGTTCTCTGATTCTTCTGCATCACTGTGCGAGGACCAGGCCACGACTCCCACGTCTAGATGTCCAGCAGGGGAGCAGGGACTCTGGTCTGGGACTAGTGGAGGGGTGGCATTTGGGTCTCACAGGTGAGTCTGAGTGCACGGCTGAGGTCCACTGAGCCACAGTGAGGACCGTGTGGTCAGAGAAGGGAGAGTGGGAGTCAATGGGGTGGTGGACACTTTAATCCCTTGGTGCCCACTCTGCACAGGAAGACAAAGGGAGACCAGGGGCTCTGAGTGTCGCCCTCCCTCTGACCCCAAGACAGCTCCAGGACCCCAGGATCTGAGGACTGTGAGGGTCTCAGTGTCGGGGGGTTGCTGCTGTCAGACACATAATATGAGGTGGACAGAATGGCTCTCCAGTACTCAGAGGGTCAGGTCATGTTTTCCATGACTGGATTGCAGGAGGACACCCCAGATAGATGCAGAGCTGGGGACACAGGGACTCCCTCCCCATTCCTGACTCCTGGGACCACGATGTGGTTCTCTGCCCTCCTTCATACCTGTCCTGTTGGTTGGGGACACCACCACTGTCAGGTTCTCTGGAGGGTCTGAAAGAGAAGTAGGGGCCTGGCTTCAAGGGGGCAGGGACTCCCCTGGGGTCAAAGGGAGCCTTCCTGGGCTAAGGATGTGGAGCGGATATTGAATCACCTGCTGGGACCCAGAAACAAACCACACAAGGATTCCAACAGGTGGGGAGCCTCCTGCCATTGCCCTGAGTACAGGTCCCTCCCAGCTCTGGGACCCTGATCCCAGGACCCCCAATTTGCTAATATCACCCACACACACACATACACACTCACACTGCACAGAGAGGTCCAGCCAGCGCTGCGGGGAGCCCAGCCTGTTCTCTGCTCGGCAGGTGTAGCGCCCGGCGTCCTCGGGTCCCACCTGAGGCCGCTCCAGTATCAGGCTTCTGGGCCCCGAGGGAGGAGACCAGGAGAGCACCCTGTCATTCAGGACCCAGCTCAGCGTGGGTGGGGGGTGGCCATCAGCCTCACAGAGCAGCCGCAAGAACTGGCCTTTCTTGACGTCCACTCGTGAGTCCTTTCCCAGAGGTTCCCTAACTGGAGAAAGGGCAAGTGGGGCTGCAGGGAGAAGCACCAGGTCCAGCGGGTCCCCAACTTTTTGTTCTCCATAATAAACTGACTCAGCCCCATTCACACCACCCCCATCAGGGTACCTGATGTTCCCAGGAAAACGTGGATGACAAGGTCCTTCGGGGCGTCTGCAACAAGACCATGAGGCAGCTCTGAGAGGAATGCTGCCCCCCAGGTACAGAGAGAGTGTGACTGTCCTTGGTCCTCCCTGGGACCGTGGCACCAGGTGCACAGTGGGACCCAGAGAACTGGAGTGTCCCGTTAACTCTCAGGGCAAGTCAGCTTCCCGGGACCCACATTTTCTCCTGGGGGACCCTCTCAGCTCATGCCTACTGGTTACCATTGCCTTCTCCCCTTTCTTTACACTGGCCTGTCCGCCCCCCCGCCCCCGCAGTCCTTCCCTTCACAGACTCACGGGCCACTCTCAGCTGGACGGTGTTTGAGGCGCTCACACCATTTTTCAATTCCACTCCACAGGTGAGCCAGGCTTTGTGGTCTTGGGGCCTCGGGGTGACGGGGAGCACAGAGAAGGAGATGTAGTTTCGTGGTGCAGCTCCTTGTGAGGAGAGGGCCACCCCAGTCCAGGAAAACGTGGGGGACGGACACCCCTCAGAGTCCCCAGGAAACACACAGAGCAGTGTCGCTGGGCACCCAGGCTCCAGGGTCTCAGGGACGTAGATGTCAGGCTTCTGCATCAGGTCTGGGGGGGGGGGTGTCTTAGTCTCAGATGCCTGGCCCATCCCCCAGTCATCCCCAAACAAGCTGGCTCCGTACCTGTCACTCTCAGGGTTACCATGTGTTCTTTATAATTATATTTCACAATGTTTCCTCTCTCCACCTGAAAGAAATACTTGGCCGCGTCCTGCCTCCGTGCATCTCTGACCAGAAGCGAGCAGCTCCCGTCCCTGGGGTCCCCGAGGAGCTGGAATCGGCCTCTGGTCCCCTCTTCTACTTTCCTTTCTGGATTGTTTGTGGCCACTGGAGCCCCAGTGAGAACATCGGTCTGTTCCCGGAACCAGTAGCCATGAGCTGGATCAGACCTGACCCAGCCCATCCAGGGGTGGGAGAAGGTGCAGGGTATGGAGACGCACAGGCCCTCCTGCACCGTCACCACCTCCTGCACCCTCAGCTGGTAGCTTCTATAACGAGAAACTGGGAACCTCTGGGGAGACTGAGGCTGCTGGCCAGCCCCAGTCCCAGCCGGGGACCCCCAGACCCCAGCACACGCTGACCCCCACAACAACAGCAGCATCAGGAGTGAGGCCAGTGGGGACATCTCTGCAGTTGCAGCGAGCCTGGCACCATCTGGCTTCTGGTCCGTCTGTCTGTCTGGGAGGTAAGCTCCCCAGGAAGGAGCAGGCAGGGAGGAGGTGGGACTGTCCACAGAAGAGGAAGCTCGGTGGTTATGGTTCCTGGGACACCGCCTGCCCCTTCTCCTCCCACAGATGGAGGCCACAGGGCCGAGGGGGGATGCCAGCCAAGGCCCTGTACACCGGGGCGTGGAGGGACAGCCCAGAAGTGGGGGGGGGCGTCATTCCTGGTAGGGGACACCTTAGCTTCTTGAAACTCCTCGAGTGACGTAAATATTTTGTATTGACCACTAACCTGAAGGTTGGCCATTCAAACCCACCAAGTGAGTTCAACTTCTAAGGTCCCCACAAGTTGAAAATGGCTCACGGTGGTTTGGGTTCTGCCCTGACCACGTACGAGCGTGGGTGGCTTTTAAACAACAGGAATGGATCATCCCTCAGGTCTGGTCAGTGGGTTGACGCAGTGCCTTCAGCTGTGGGTTTGAGCGGGGTGGAGACCGTGGGGTGGGACGACATTCTGAGCTGCTGTTCGTGGGGGTCCCTATGGGTTATGAAGGATTTAACAGCCCCTAACAACAGCAACAACACAGGTCTGGGGTTGGCGCTCTGAAATAAAGGTCACTGTCCAGGGGCTGCAGGGAAGACCCTTCCTTGTCCTCTCAGTGGGGGGTGGGTCCTCAGGCCTTGGCGTTTACTGGCATGTGGCCACATCACTCTAGTGTCTGCCTCCATCTCCACGTGTCCATCTTCCCTCCCTGTCCCTTCCCTCCTTGTGAGGACACCAGTCACACGGGGACCGGGACCTGCACTAATCCAGCATGGCTTCATCCTGAACCATTGCATCTGCACAGACCTTAAATCGGCTCAGCTCACAGGCGCCTGGTTGTTGGGACTGTGTTGTTGTTTGGTGTCCTCAAGGCCACTGCAACGCGTGGCCACACTCTGTGAGGGGATCTGAGCCTTGTCTTCTCCTGCGCCATCCACGTCCTCTCTGACGCACTCGAGACCACTGTTTCGAAGCCACCTCGCTGAAGATCTCTCCCTCTTTCGCTGACCCTCCACCATTCCAACCATAATGTCCTTTTCCAGGGACTGACCCTTCCTCGCAGCGTGCCCAAAGGATATTAGACAAAGCTTTGCCATCTTTGCCTCTAAGGGGCACCTGGGTTGCACTTTCTCCAAGACATTTGTTTGTTCTCTTGGCAATCCATGCAGTAGTCAGCATTTTACCACCTTGGTTTTCCTACCCCAAAACCTATAACTTCAATACAACAGGACTGAAAAATATCAGACAGATTCCAGTAGAGGGGCAGTCCATAGTATCCCTGACCCTTACTACTCTAAACTCCTGAGGTCATCAGAAATAAGTCACATGGTGCAACCCCTGGGGAAGGCAGTGTGGTGCTTTCTCAAAAAGTTGCAAATAGAGATACCATTTGAACCAGCAATTCCACTACTGGAAATAAACCCCCACCCCCCAAAAAAATAACTGACATCCAAGCAGATATATGCACACCCACGTTTATCGTGGCTTTGTTCACAATACCAAGGAGTTGGAAACAACCTACGTGCCTATCAACAAACAAAGGGATAGAGAAGCTGTGATATATTCACACAATGGAATACTACGCTGCATTGAAAAACAAGGAAATCTTAAAACAACTGTGAGATATCATCTCACCCCAGTCAGAATAGCAAAATTTAACAGAACAGCAAGCAACAAATGCTGGTGAGGTTGTGGAGAAACTGGAACCCTTATTCACT